GTTTTACAACCATGGTCACACACGTACTGTACATCAAGCGAGCGGGAGACGACACGCGATACCGCACAAGGTTGTAGGCCTACTGGTCATTCCTCCCTTATCTTGTCTTAATCAGCTGTTGTGTTATCCGTGGTAACCTCTTCCCCCTCTAGTCTACTGTACAGACGATAGGTAACTTTATCAGAAAAATCTTCTTTAACATTTAACAAGCTATGTTTACCCATTGAAGTGACCTTTTTGAAAATAAAGTACTCCTCCCATATTTTCGACCTTTGAGCGTTATCACAGGCTTTTAGCACATTTAGCGATTTATCAAAACTTATATTGTGGGAAGGATGTTCTTTCAGGTGTTGGGCAACTTTGGACGTGGGATTTTTTTTGGTTTCGGGCGTTATGCTCCTTAAAACGTTGTTTGAAAGATCTATTAGTTTGTCCAATATATTCTTTATCACAATCATCTCCATCATTGCATTTAATAAGATAAACCCCCTTGTCAATACTATGTTTTTCTTTTTGTTTCATACCAATATTCTTGCTTATTTTATATCCCGGCATGTAAGAAAACTTCTTAAAAATATTACCTACGTGAAGCGAGTTTTTGTTTACATATTTGAAAGGGATGAACTTGTGTGGTTGACCAGTCCTCTCATCTGTTTGTGGCCTTGATAATTTAAACTTGGTTTTCCTTATCATGTTATCAATTAAATCTGTATTGTAGCCGTTGTTGTAGGCAATTTGTTTCATAATTGATTTTTCTTTTTGAAACTCTGTGGGTGACAAATTATAAGTTAAAAGCCTGTATGCCATGGATCTGAGGGCAGCCATTTTGTAGGACATGGGATGATTCGAGTCCATTGGAATAACTAAATCTGTTTGGGTTTCCTTCCTATAAATACCAAACTCTAACTTGCTCTAACTCTAACTCTAACGCGTCTCGCAGGAGATAAGGATTTTGGACACCTTAGGCTACCAAAAAAAGGTAAAAATACTCATAATAAATAGGTGTCTAGGCTAATATCTACAAATATAAAAATATTACCGATATACTCCCGCCAGAACCTTTAGCTTAAGACATTTAACTAGAGTAAGTTAAGGCCATCAACAAGTTTAAGCAAATTCTACAAAAATAGTTCAATCAATAGTTCATTAGTTAGTTAAAGATAGATTTTTTTCTTCTCTTATAGTTAATTAATATGGAAGAACCAACACACCAAACATGCGAAAAGCACCTAAGCCTCAGAAATACAGTGGTGACCGTCGCGCTGGCCCGCCACTGGATTGCCCAGGGCACCAGGGAGCTTCCCGAGACGTGCCGCGAAGGGAAACGCGAAATCAAGCGGCACCACCACTGTCACAAGTACCCAAGTCCCGGGCAAACACAGGGTTAGTACCTAAGACCCTACCTTCCTACCATACCCAAAATTTTTTTTTTCTTTTAAGTCGGGGAGGTTGTGACGCTTGCGTCACAGCGGCGACGCATCAGACGGTAAAGATCAGCTGATTGCTGGAGAACGGGGGAGGGGGTAGGAAGCGCAGAGACAGAATATAGTTGTGTTCCGGATTCAAGAGGGTGTAGGCGCCATGTTAAAGGCTGGACTCCATCGCCGAATTGATAAGTTTTCCTTAGTCTAAGATATTTACAAATATGTTCTAATTTTTTTCAGGAAGGGGGGGGATTAAGGCTTTAGGGAACTATAAATTATTTCTGCTTAATATGTAAATTATACTTTAGAGCACACTCGTACCCATAAGGTACGAGTGGAAGTTTTCAGTGTTCTTTTCCTTATTATATTAATAATTAGATGCATTAATAATATTAGATCATCAAAATGGCTGTGATATGGATGTGGTTTGGCTCAGTAATTAATTTAAGATCATTATTATTCAACTCAGAATGTCGCTCGCAACACTAGATTGATTGCATTGAGCCTTAACGATCCAATGAGTCCAGTACAGTTACTATAAATAATTATAGTAACACGCTTCAATGTGCTGTATACCGTTATGTTATTGTTATGTCATTTCTAATATTCTATTTATATTTGTTACTACTGTATTGGATATTATATTGTTATGGTTGTATTGCTTTGCATTTTATTGTAAATTGTTATTCTTGAACCATGAAACCTATGTGTAACTGTTATTGCTGATCTGTATATCAATTTTTTAATCAATTGTTTATCAATTGTTGTAATCTATTTAGTATTAATATCTTAGGCTACCATCTTGATGTACACAAATTTGTAAAATTGGTTTAACCGTGGGAAATAAATAAATAAATACAGTGGTTTTAGATTTAAACTAGATTATTATGACAAATTAGTCCAGCATTAAAAAAATACTTTACACATATCAATAGTGGGGAAAAGAAAATCAATTGTTACACTTCAACATTCCTCAACCAAACAAAACCCAATTGGAAAATTCTCAAAAAGAATTGCTACCACAAATTTGTCAAACTAAATCTAAGTTAAAAAAAAAAATTCTCAGGCTCAATTAGTTCTCCATAATTTACAACCCCCAAATAACATTTAACCTTATAATCCAAAAATATTTCACCTTAAAATGGAAAGAAGAAACACAGGGCATGTGCGGCAATGGTGGTAAAGTTCAACTACTGTACTACCTTTGCAGCACCTACCTGAACCTTTATGCAGTTTGGTCATGGAAAACCACCCTGAGCATACAAACTTTATGGACCGGTTGGGACATTATAATAGCTGCTTTAATATGACATTGTTTGGAGCAAAACATGTTGTAGCTGAATTGTTGACTGAAGGTTGTTGGCACTTAAACACTAATTTATAAAAAAAATTCAACCAATTTTGAAGTTTCCGTAGCGAAGCACGGGAATTCCGCTAGTCTGTTAGTATAAACATTAAAAAGTAAGAATCTAAAAATTCCTGCTATTGAAAACCTTGTAATGAAAAAGGAGTTTAAATGTTGTTTATCTGAGATAAATGTTAGTACAGTAAAACGCCGATCATCCGAATTCGTTGGGATCGGGGTCGATTTGGATAATCAAAACTTCGGATAATCGGACACAGAATAGTAATAAAAAAATAAAAATAAAGTTGCACAACGAATGAACTTTATTGAGAATAACTAAGACATAATAGAGCTGTTAAATTGAATTGAAGTACAGTACAGGAACAAATACTGATATTTATAAAAACAAAACTAGAGTACAATATAAAGTTCTTTAAAATCACTTACTTGTACATCTCGATCAGCGTAAGTTGCCGTGACCTTTTAGTTTGTTTCCGCATAGCTAGATCACGCAGGCGCTGGACGGCAAGAAGCTGTACACCCTCGCACTCTGGTTGCCGCTCCATCCATTTGAAGTCGTTGTCAAAACACATTTAAACACCTCACCATGTGATGGTATAGTTTCGTCTCCAGCGGTCTCATTGTTTTCATCTTCATTTTCCTGATCATACATGACACTCACTGCAATTTCATCATCAGTCATTATCTGGTATCCTTGATCGTTCTTATCACATTTCAACCACTCTTCCATATCATCGACATCACACTCCGAACAACCCGCAATTTCCTTAGCCATGAACTAACTCCCCAACTGACGGCAATTCCGGTTCGTCTTCATTAACGCCAGCAGTTCAGCAGTTAGTTCTCGTTCTTTAGCTTGCTTTTGTAACTCGAGTTGATCTTTTGTCGACGTACCGTTTATTTTGTTCCAAGCCCGTTTAAGTGAAACACTCTTAACCATGTTCCAGGATTCCGCAATCATGTAGCTACAGTCTTTCAAGTTGATTTTTTTGTAAGAATCTAAAACTTGTTCTTCGGCGTTCTCTACAGCTAGGAGCAATTTACGAAGCATCTGTTGTCTGTAAAGACATTTTGTGCACTCAATTACACCCTGATCCATGGGCTGGAGCAGACTTGTCACGTTAGGAGGTAAAAAGAGACACTTAAATCTCCCCTTCTCTCATGAGAAGCTCCAGTGAAGGATGCCTCAGCGCATTGTCCATGATAAGTAAAACCTTTCCCTATTTTCCTGTTTAAATTTTTTTACTTGAGGAATAAAGGTTTTATCGTACCACTCCAAAAAAAATAGTGCTCTCCATCCAAACATTCTTCTGATTAGTTTAGGTCACTGGTAAGTTGGCTACGTTCTTAAGAGCCCGCGGCTTCTTTGCTTTGCTTTATATGTATATTCAGAGTGTCCGAAAAAGAATGCCTTGGAATTTATTAAAGATAACTAAATGATTTAAACGTCAACTCGGAATTTAAATAACTAAGTTTGTTTTCCCTATAGCAAAAGAGGAAACGTTAACCTTGTCATGCACAATTCAGGTGTGCAGTGACAGGCTGCTGTTGAGACTCACTTACACGCCTAACACCACTCAATATGATGTTTACGGCTCTACAGAAGGCACAGCATTATGGATTGTTAAATTAAATTTAAGTTCACCCAATGATAAAGCAATTCATTGGTGGTTTAATCAGTTTTGTGACACCGGAAGTGTTTTGAAAGGACATTCATCTGGCTGGCCAAAAACAAGTGAAGACAAAGTCGAAGAAATGTGACAATTCTGAACAGAAGCCCAAAAAAAATTGTTTGCCCAACGAAGTCTTCAGTTAAACATACCTAAATCGACACTCCACGATATTATTGTGACTACGTGAATTCACACACAAAATTCACACAAACATCAGATTAAATCCGCCAATCACAATAAGGGTACAGAATTTGCTATATTTTATGCTTATACAAAATTGATGACAATCCGATTTTTAAAAATTACTAAATTTTATCTAAGTATGTAAAAACCTTTTTCTTCTGCATTCAATTTGATGTTTAAGTCTTTCAATTGTCTTGAATAGTCTCCGAGCAACAGCTGTTCGAAATTCCAGTATTCTTCAAGACCCAGACATAAATAGGAACTTGAAATCAGGACTTTCATAAAGCAAATCAAAGAATAAATTGGCTATTCAAATAGCAGCTGTTATAAAAATATGATTTGAAAATATCTTACCTTTGATAGGTATGACTCCTCTTTAGGTGTGGCAAAACCTTTATCAATAAGAAGGTTGTTCAAGGTAAGAAGAGATTTGCCGTTTCCTCCCACCTCCTCCAAAAACAAATATACAGACGCAACTCCATTCACAAAGGAGTAGATCTAAGGTGCAACAAAACATAAAATGAATACAAATAAATGTAAAATCAACCACACTAATAACAGCAAAAACTGTACAGTAACACCATTGACAATAAACATAAGTAATACACTCATAATATTTTTTAAACAAGTTACAACCTATGTACTTATAACTTGTGCCTTCTTTAAACCAGATTAATTTAAAAGATTACTGAGATTTTCTCAACATATAATTTGCACACTTGTACACTTTTTCAGATTTTACAGACCAAAACAGTTTCTATAATTATAATTTACTCATCCACCCAAAAATATAGCTATTAGGGATGTGTCAATTCTTGATACAACTGATTCTTTAACATTGGTATCGGTATCTGTGTAATAAGTAGAGCTTCAAACCAAGATGAAATTGTACATAATCTGTTAAATAGTTCTGAATTGTTGAGGGACTAGTACACAGTTGTCAATATAAAGATGGAACTTTTGTTCAAAACTTTTAATTTAAAGCCAAAAATTCATACGTATTTGTGAGCACTGGCTCAAAGATGGCAGCTGTGGATTGCTTATTTCACTCAATAAACTATAAATTAGCTAGTATTTTCAATAGAAAAGACAAAATAAGAGGTGGTTCATGTATTTTAGCTCATAGTAGGTCTTTAGATTTTAGTGTACGTTTAGATATTGAGAAATTTTCAATTGAGGAAAGTTTTGAATCTGTTACTTTGGAAACTAGAAGCTTAAGAATAAGAATAAGAATAAGAATCCTTTATTGTCATTAGACACGGTTGTGCAATAGACATTGTCAAAGAAAACTATAAACTAGAAAATGTAACAAAGTCATGAACATTATCACAGTAGACTTTATGTAACATACATGTAAAACTTAGCCTATATCACAGAAGAGATCACAGTTGTCAATTGAGAATAAATATTATAAAATAAAAATTGTTGAATAACAATGCATGTTACTTAAAATCTATAAAATCAGTAGCACTCAAATGCAAAAACTCATTAACAGAATAAAGTGAGTGCTTTAGAAGACCATTTGTTACAACAGTTTTAAAATTAGCAAAGGATTCAATATTCTTAACATTATGAGGTAGTATATTGAACAGTTTAAGCCCTATAACATTAGAGCTTTTGGCTGCTTTGGTCAATCTACAAAAGGGAATGTCAATTTCATGCTTGAGCTTGTGTTGTGGCTATGTACATTTAGCCGTTTCAACAAGAATACAGATTATTTTTTTACTTCTAATAGAACATACAAAACATATAAACTAAAGACAGTTAACACTTTTTCATGGATAAAAATAGGCCTACAGTGCTCTGAGTAGTCAGCTGAAGCTAGCTTATATTTTCAAACAAAGAAACAGCTAATTATAATCAACATTTATAGAAGTAGTAATTTAAGGTTTTTTTTTAGTAATCTTGAAAAACTTCACTTTCATATTTCTAGAGAATTGACTAGACATATTTTTAATTTCTGGTGACTTCAACCATGCTTAAGTCCAGGAGCTGAGGGGGTTTGAGCATGCATGAAAGTAGTACGCAATGTTATTGCTGATTATTGTAATATGGACTGTGGTGATCAAAATTACGTATGTCACCTATTTCAAAAGTGGTCGATAAGGTTGGGGGGCGGGGGCAAACATGGCGGTTTGCGCTCTTCCAACGAATCAAAAGACCCAGGCCTAGGCCTAATTATTTAGGAGGGCCTATATATAAATTGATTAGGTTACAATGAGGGTAGTAAAATCACTATCTAGTTCATAAGATTTAGATTGCATAAAGTACCTTCAACACAATAAAAATTACAGGAAACTAAAAAACATTTAAGCCTTAAACAGCCACATCTAACAATATAAGACAAGATACAGAACATGCAATGACATAGTTTGAGACCGAGTAGGCTTGCATAACGAAAAAAAAAAAATTATGCATAGAACAACAACTATGCTTGTGGTTTCATCAATAGAAAGATAAAATGTCTATAACAAATACTTTAACTTATAAAATAAGATTGTAGATTAGTTAAAAGTTTAATATGTAGCTATAAACAGTTTTATGGCAATGGCCAGCGGCAAATTGAATATTCACGAAAATACTGACTGAGTTAGAGATAACATTTAACAGTCAACATAAAACTATTATTTTTATAAGCAGCACACTATAAGAACATCACTTTTCCCCAATCTGTTTGGATTACAAAAAGGCCTATGTAAAGAAGAGCATGAATTACTTCATCTAACAGTAAAAAGCGGAGGAATAGGGATGGCTGATCCAGTTATGCAATCAAAACACATATATGAAACCTCAAAAAGAGTGTGCGACGTTCTATTACAATCTCTTGCATTAAGAACCTCTTTTGAGTTCAGTGAGCATGAAGATACTTTAAAAATGACAATAAAAATCCATAGAGAACAAAAGAAAACTGAAGAAAACAAATTATTAAATGAAAATGTAAAATGTTTTTCACGACAAAGACAAAATGTAATACTACGAAATGCTGACACTAAATCAAAACATGGCAGCTGGTTATCCTGTATACCACTGAAGAAATTAAATTTAGACATGTCACCCCAAGAATTTAGGGATTCCCTGGCACTGAGATACGGTCGGACACCAATCAATTTACCAACCAAATGTGATGGCTGTGGAAAAGAATTTAATACAGACCATGCCCTTATATGTCCTGTAGGTGGCCTAATTATAAAAAGACACAATGAAATTAGAGATACTTTAGGAAACATAATGGAACAGGCATGGGGAAATTGTATCAAAGAGCCCCTTATAGCAGAGAATGGAAATGCAAACGGGCCTGCAATCAAAGCTGACTTGGCATGTAGAGGGGTGTGGGAGACAGAGGGATGCATTATTTGATATCCGTGTCGTAGACACCGATGCTTACTCATATGTTTCCAAACCTCATGACAATGTCATAAAAAATGCAGAAGAAGAAAAGAAAAGAAAGTATATGACAGCTTGTGAGAACCGGAATGCTTCTTTCACCCCTTTGATTACATCAGTTTGCAGAATCCTAGGCAATGATTTTCAAACACTAATAAGAGCATTAGCTGAAAAATTGTCAGAAAAATGGGCCAAGCCTTACAGCCTAGTAGTCAATTTTGGATAAGAACGAGACTGACTTGCTCAATTTTAAGGGCAACAAGCATGTGTCTGAGAAGATCTCGGAAAAAATGGAGATCTGCTAGAGAATTCGAAGATGGAGCAGGCATCCAACATATATATTGAAAGAATCAAAATTTTTAGTAATATATGTAATTTAGATTTATTTGTCTTGTAATATTTATAATAAATAATCAATGACTGTTTAAAATTATTTTTATGATAAAATAGAATTGGGAAAAGTCTAAAGAAATAAAAGTGATAAAACTCAACATTTCTTGGAAGTACTTGAATACAACAATTATTGTTGTGATAAAATGTTAATAGATTTGGGACTGCTAATGGGTTTTTTTTTTATTGCATCATCATCCTAGTAATAAATTATGAAGATCATAAACAAACATCTGATAAGACTTTTATGTGCTCAGAACCAACTGTCGTTGACTACAATAGTAAACTGAAAGTAATTTATTATTATAATAGGCTATACCAAACCGAATTTGTACCGTGTAAAATGCTGTACCCAACCGATGACAGTAATTAAGCTTGTACCGTACTGTACCGACTTTTTCGGTGCACCGCAGACCCCTAATAATAAGTTTAACAAAATCTACATTATACAGCTATTTTCTTCAAAAATAATATGGATTGTTGATAAATAATAGTGTAATTACTTAATTACTTGGCTAAATATTAACTAGATGCATTTTCTTATTAGAAAAAAAATATTATTACGAATACATATGGTTTAAAACGTAAAACACGGCCTCCTAACGCCATGGGGTTCGTCCGATAGGTTGCGTCATAATTGCTGCGCAGCGCTGCTGATATCGGCACAACTGTTAATCCCCCCAAAGATCATTGCCTTCCAACTCAGTGATATCGGGGTTGTGAAAGTATTTGTACAGTTTAAGACTACTGACATTTATTGTGTTTTATTTATACAAATAACATTCTTTTACAACTTTTAATAGTTATTTAAATATTTTAAATTTCAATAAATTTTATTTTAAGTTGCTTACGTTCTCTTTCCATAGCATTTTAAGATTGTAGATACCTTTGATCGTCATAAACAGTTCCCACACTCCGGACTACTCGCCTTTACTACTTCCTTCACCACTTCCTACGTCATGGACCTGTTTCCCTCCCTTTCCATAGCATTTTAGGATTGCAGATCCCTTAATATAATCGTCAAAAACAGTTCCCACACTCCGGACAGCTCGCCTTGACTACTTCCTTCGCCACTTTCAAAGTCATGGACCTGTTTTCCTCCCTTCCCATAGAATTTTAGGAATGCAGATACCTTAATTAAATCGTCATAAACAGTTTCCCCACTCCAGACTGCTCACCTTTACTACTTCCTTCACCACTTCCTACGTCGCGGACCTGTTTTCCCCCCTTTCCATAGCATTTAGGGTTGCAGATACCTTAATCTAATCGTCACAAACAGTTCCCACAGTCCGGACTGCTTGCCTTTACTACTTCCTTCACCACTTCCTACGTCACGGACCTGTTTTCCTCCCTTCCCATAGCATTTTAGGATTGCAGATACCTTAATCTAATGGTCACAAACAGTTCCCACAGTCCGGACTGCTCGCCTTTACTACTTCCTTCACCACTTCCTACGTCGCGGACCTGTTTCCTCCCCTTCCAATAGCATTTTAGGATTGCAGATACCTTAATCTAATCGTCATAAACAGTTTCCACACTCCGGACTACTCACCTCGACTACTTCCTTCACCACTTCCTACGTCGCGGACCTGTTTCCCTCCCTTCCCATTGCATTTTAAGATTGCAGATACCTTTATCTAATGGTCATAAACAGTTCCCACACTCCGGACTTCTCGCATTGACTACTTCCTCCACCACTTCCTACGTCGCGGACCTGTTCTCCT